GCGTCGAGTCGCCCCTCTCTCTTCGCTATTGTTCGCGCCCTACCTCGTGCTGCCGCTCGCGGCTCGGCTCACCCACCGTGCGCCTCTCTAGCTCAGCTACCGTTCGTGCTTCCACCTTCTCAGTGCCTAGACACTTTACCTCCCTTTATCTCCTCTTACCTGCCCTTCCTCTGTTCCCCTTCTTACCTCCTCACTTTCTCACCTACACACCTCCTCGCTCTATCACCTTCTCCTTCCTCAGCCTCCCTTGTCACTCTCTTCTAAACCCTTTTGCTCTCGCTCACTTGCACACCTGTCACTCTCGTTCTCTCCGGAACCGGAAGTCCCCTACTAGTATATAAGACCATATATGACTATATGAAGTTATGCTCAAAGAGATTTAGCCATATAATATTGTTCAAGATTATATTTCCATTTCTTATATGACCATATATAATTATATATCTACTAATATGAACAAATAAAAGGTATTTTTTCCCGAGTATATAATCATATATGTTCATACATGGTCAGGTATAATTATTATTTATATATTCTTATATATGGCCATATAATATTGTTTAAGACTATATTTTTCACTTCTTATATAATCATATATAATTATGTATCTACTAATATAAACTAATATAAAATAAGTCGTTTTATTTTCGACCCAACTGGCCAATTGAAACAAGATTACACGACGTTTCGACCGAATTCCGGTCCTTATCAAGTGCTTTAATTCAAGTTACACCGATCCGCATAACAAACTTAATTGCATCGTTGACGTGGTGTCCTGACAACGTCAAGACAAACGCAAAACTAAACAAAAGAGAAAATAATACATTTAACAATAAGAAAACTATACAAAATCATTACAATATCGCGCTAGTCAAAAACAATAAAATCAATTAACACTGTAAAAATTAGTTAAAAGCTTACAATTTTTATGCGCTCCAAAACAAACGGTGAAATCAAAACGTCTCTAGCCATATCGAGGCACAACGTCCGAACAGTAAGACAGTCAAAGTCGAAATGAAGTTGTCAAACGTAATCCGCGGATAGCAAACGGCGCTCTGGGGGAAAAACGAGCAGAACCGAATATACAGGGCCGACTAAGTAATACCAATGACACGGTTATAAATAGATGGCAGGCTTTCAGTATCGTTTTGTAAATTGATTGTGCAATCATGTTTTTTAATGAAAAACATTTCCGATATTTCTCTTTTTTTGAAATGTTTTTCTTTGTATAAAATTTTCGGATGCTGCCACTTGAAATCATGATTGTGTGCAAGACGGTGTTTGCTCACAACAGAATGATTATCTACATTTTTCCTGAGATCACATCGATGTTCTTTGATGCGTGTTTCTAAATGCCTTTTTGTCTGGCCAATATATACCGCATCACAATTTGCACAATCAATCTTATAAACTACTAACTCAGTCTGACTGAGATTCGGCAACCCATCTTTACCCTTCCTAATGACACAATCCAATCTCTTCGGGATGGTGTGAAGAACTCTAAAGTTCATGTCTCGCATTGTACGGCTAACATTCTCGCTAAGGCCCTTTATATAAGGTACAGTAATGCACCTTCGAGGATCTTGGGCCACTTCGCTACTGACAGGATCATTGTTGTTACGATTTCGCAATTCGCCAAGCCGGACATTGACATATTTATCAACAACTTTTTTCGGGTAACAATTATTAATAAGGATCTTTTTTATTTCACTAATATTAGACTTGTGAAACCGCGCGTCGGACAAAAAAATCGCCCGATCAACCAAATTCCTTACGATGTTAATTTTATATTTCATAGAATGGTTTGAAAAATAATTTATATACCGGCCCGAGAAAGTTGGTTTACGGAACCAATTCGTGAGCAATGAGCCTCCCTCGCGGATGACCGTGGTATCAAAGAAACTCAATTTACCGTTCCTTTCCATTTCATAAGTGAATTTTAATCTATCGTGGTAATTGTTGAAACTGTCTAATAATTCCCTAATACCCGACTCGGGAACAACCACGAAAATATCATCCACATATCGTTTGAAAAAGGATATCCTGAAACTGAGCCGCTGTATACAATGTTTCTCTAAATCCTCATCCATGACCATGTCAGCTAAGATAGGAGAGAGGGAAGACCCCATCGGGCTTCCGAAGATCTGTTCATAAAATTGGCCGTTGAACATAAAACTAGTAGAACTGAGGATCAAGTCTACAGCACTCAAGAATTGTGGAAGGCTGAGATCAGTTTTTGTAGTGATGTAATTCCATCTCTCTTCAATCGCTTTCAAAACAAGATCTTTAGGTACGTTAGTGAAAAGAGAAGTGACATCTAACGAAATTAAAACATCACCGTCTCCCACTCTTACTCCTCTAATCAATTCTACAAAAGACCAACTATCCTTAACATATGATTCAGGATTAGGAACAGATTTTTCCAAAATATTTTGCAAACGACTGGCGATATTATAGAGCGGACTGCCTAAAGTGGAAACAATTATACGTAATGGTGAGCCAATTTTATGAATCTTCGGGAGCCCGTAACTGCGCGGAAGATTCCCATTGGTGCAATTCAAATGTCTAAAAACTTGCTCATTGATGATGCCCATGTTAAACCAAGACTTTGCCACTTCGTTGATTTTTGAGGTTTTTTTCTTATAGGATTGCTTTTCAATTTTTTCATACATATGACCAAAAAATACAAAGAAAACTTATTAATAAATTTTGGTCATATGCAATTAAGTTTGTTATGCGGATCGGTGTAACTTGAATTAAAGCACTTGATAAGGACCGGAATTCGGTCGAAACGTCGTGCAATCTTGTTTCAATTGGCCAGTTGGGTCGAAAATAAAACGACTTATTTTGAATTATTTGCTGGCGTCGGAAATTGTTTTGTTTATAAACTAATATATAGTAATATGAATAAATAAGAGGTTTTTTTTCCCGGGTTGATTGGCCGGACACGCGCGCGCGCGCACGCACGCACACACACACACACACACACACACACAGGAACGCGCGTGCCCGCGTGAAGCATTATCTTTTTTCTGTTGTCGCCGTGGGCCTTCGCTATCGCAAAATCTCAATAGAAATGTTCAAATAATCATAACTCTGCAAAAAAAAAAAATCATAGAGACCTCGGCAACATCGCGTTGTTTTCGTCTCGGAAAGCCCTTTCGAACGAGTCCTCACGCAACCCCACATGCCATTTAAGATTTTTTGGCTCCCCTTTTCCCCCGTCCCCCGGGGGTGTGGAGGTGGGTGTTTTTGTGGTTAAACAATAGATTGTTCAGTATTGTTCAGAATATATTATAGCAGCACGAATATCTCGCTAGTTCGCAAGCCCTTTGTTTAAATTTTGTTTATATTAAGCAAACACTATCTATTAATTGTTTATATTCACGCGGGCGATATGTTGCGTTTCAAAGTACCTTTTTTCAAATATATCAGAACTTATTTCGGGGATTATTCTTGCTTATTGCTTAACAAATATATTAAATTAAATATATTAAATTAATAAACACTTGTGTCTCTCTGCGAATTAAAATCAGATTCATAAGATCGTGCATTAGATTGGAGGTGATCCCTGCACACTTAAATTTAAATAGATTAAAATTAACATTAAACTTTCTCAAAGCAAATATAATAACAAACTTAACATTATCATGCATAGATACGGTTTATCCATTTTAAGACTCGAACTGAGTGATGCGTACAAAAGCCTACAGTGCATTAGACACGAAATGTACAGAGTCTATAAGTCGATTTCCAATGTATTTCCTTCTAGGATCGAAAATGCTTTCTTTGCTCGCCAGGAAATTGTCGAAAGTCAGCTGTGGCATAACCGAAAGGTAAGAGTTGACAAAAAAAATAAATTGGCTGACGAAAATCTCTAACACACGTAAGAAATCTATTATATGTGACATTAATTATTATTTTTCTGGTGATGTTAACTCGGTGGATTCTGACATTCCAAGGAAAAGAATTTTTTAAAATAATTTTGGGCCTAATTTACTTCAAGTTAATATTTAAGCTAATAATTTTAAACAAGAATTTACATTAGATTCTCCACAGCATGGTTGGTTTCGCAATTTAAGCAAATATGTAATCCCGGATGAAATCGTCTACCTATTACAATTGGAGGAACGGTTCGGTGTACCGATTAAGAAATATGAGATACCTAAATTAATTACTGAGTTCATAAAACACATAGAAGGGAATATAAATAAATGCCAAGAATCCATCCGAGGGACAGTCAGAAACCGATCGGTATCTTTAGTCAATAAAATTGCCAATAAAAAACTTCCGGTCAGTAATAACGATAAAATGATTTTGGGATGGACAACTTCAACTAAGAAGTTTATTAAGGAACATCCAAACATCCTTTTCACTAGAGCCGATAAAGGTAGTGTCACGGTGGCTTTGGACAAGGTTGAATACGTAAAGAACATGGAGTCATCGCTCTCGGATACTTCCATCTACGAAGTAATTAATAAAGACCCGGTAAAAAAAACTCTCGAGTGAGTTACGCTCTCTAATAACAAGATGGAGGAATAAGGGATATATTGATCACTCCATGTATAGAAAACTTAATTGTACGGACGATATTCTACCGAGAGCTTATGGATTACCTAAAATACATAAGCCTGGCAATCCTCTTAGAATAATTGTGTCATCCATTAACAGCCGTTGTATATGCTTGCTTGTTGTTTACATGATATTTTGTCTAAAGGTGTTTTGGAATCTCCCAGTTATATCAAAAATAGCTACCATTTAGTGAACAAACTAAATGGTATGCCTTTCGACTCTAATTGTACATTAATATCATTGGATGTCATGTCACTTTTTACTAATGTTCCGACAGACCTAGTAGTGGAAAGTATCACAAAAAGGTGGAGTGAGATTTCGAAGCACACAGACATTCCTTTTGACGAATTCATAATTGTAATCCGACTGATTCTTAATTTGACATATTTTTCTTTCAACAAAAAATTTTACAAACAAATTTTTGGCAGTCGGATGGGCTCTCCTCTGTCACCAATGGCGGCGGATATGGTCATGTGCGACCTCGAGCAGATTGCAATCCTACAACTCAATTATGTTTCACAGTTTTATTGTCGGTATGTTGATGACATTGCAATGGATGCTCCATGCAGTGAGATTGATAATATAATACATTGGAGATTTTTAATTCCTTACATGAACGGTTGCAATTTACTTGTGAGATCGGACGGAAAGGCAGACTTAATTTTTTGGATGTCACCATTGTCATAGAGGATGACAGGATCATTTTCGACCATTTCTACAAACCTACATTCTCTGGTAGATATTTAAACTTTAATTCAAACCATCCACTTTGTCACAAAAGAGGCGTAATATACGGGCTTACGGATAACATCATCTTTCTGTCACACCCACAGTTTCATAAGAAAAATTTAGAAGATGCGATTAACACATTATTAAACAATGGATATCCGCTTGGGTTTATTTTTTCCACGATCAGAAATAGGATCAAAACCCTTGCTTATAACACACAATCTCATAACAATCACACTTTTGATAATAAAACTCCTAATTTTACCATACCGTATATCAAATCCACAGAAGATTTTACAACGTTAGCCAAAAATATCAACGCCGCCCGGCGTTTACAATTCCGTTCAAATTGAACAGTTTTATTGCAACAGGTAAGGATAAATTAGATAAATCGGCACACTGTGGAATAGTTTACAAAATAAGTTGTTTTGATTGTGATGCTACATATGTAGGGCAATCAAAAGGACAACTTAAAACCAGAATCAAGGAGCATAAATTTGACATTATGAAGAAAAGCGGATCTCTATCAGTTATTACCGAACATCGCCTTAAAACGGATCACAGATTAGATTGGGAAGGGGTGAAAATCTTGGATAATGAACCGATATATAATAAACGACTCATTTCTGAGATGTTGCATATTAAAAGACAGAGCGAGGGTCTTAATAAACATAGTGACACGGAATTATTGCCAGAAGCTTATCTCCCAATTTTTAACGCACTACCTCCTTCCTGATTCCCACTTAGGTGCCTTTCCCCTCCTATACTCAGTCCCTTCTACATGTTTCACCCGATAATTTTCTGACTCTTGCATTTGACATTAGACCGACCACAGCAAAATATGTATTCTTCGACACGCGTTTCTACTGTTCAAGGTATTAAGAATAACTTTAACCCTTAAATGCCACCCGGGGTCCAGCGGACCCCAGACCTTTTAGAATGATATATTTTCAAATGTTCCCTCCAAAAATGGAGCTCATACTCCCATTGGCTGGATTCGGGGAGCGCGCTATTAGCGCTATTTGCTTGTTCTATCCTTGTTTTACACCTGATGAGCGATAAAGACAGAATGATGCAATAGCGCTAATAGCGCGCTCCTCGAATGCAGCCATTGATGATAGTTGAGTGATTGACCTACCCGGTAGTACACTTAGCAGTACTCAGTTTACTTAATTTTTTATACTATGTTGAAATTGAAGTTTTAACAATATAAGCATTTTATTCTCTTTTCTAAGCCTTGAACAACATTGAAAATAATTTTCATAACTAAATATCAAAAAATCAATGAGTAAGGAGACATTTTTCATGCTGGGGTCTTTTAGACCCCATGTGTCATTTACGAGATTCTTGAGAGGTGTGGCATTCAAGGGTTAAATTGTATTACGTTTAATTTCAACATTTATAAATTGAGTAATTTATGTAAGGACATTCGGCATCGGTCCTATCCATACCCTTGACCGTAATTTGTTGGACAATAGAGACGGATCCTTCCTTGATCGACTTATGGACGCTCAAACGATAATTGTACACGATGAACTAGGTTTTCTGCTTCGGCGAGCTGTGATTGGGATCGACACGATGACTATGTATGCGATCGACGATTTACACGAAAGCATGTATGTAAGCGATTGGCGGTTTTAATTATGTTAAGATAAGGGAGTTACTGTAATATTTAATTTTAATTTTAATATGTAACGACTATTCCGTTTATTTATATTCAACGATTAATGTTATTGTTTGTTACACTGAAGAAGGCCACAGTAATGGCCGAAATGTTTTTTTGATTATCTGTATTGTTCAGAATATATTATAGCAGCACGAATATCTCGCTAGTTTGCAAGCCTTTTGTTTAAATTTTGTTTAAATAATAGATTTTGTGATCCCGTTGTATCCCTATAAATTTCAATCCTATATTTCAAACTATTCACAAATTATTTAGGTGGCCTGGAACTTTTGGTAGGCACCGTATATATTTAAATATATTTTAATCGCCTGTATAATTACATATAGTCATATATAATTATATATAATATCATATATAAGTACGGAAATTTTGCTTTTTATATATAACGCTACATGAAATTACATATAATCATATGGGGTTATATATACTTCCATATGAATCTTATATGTATCCATACATGAGTGCATATATTATCTATTGTTCATATCTAATTATATTTAGAATTATATATGATCATATATAATGATACATGGACCCAAGAACATCCACAGGATTTTTTCCAGGGCGGGGCATGATTCAAAATGTTACTTCTAGATTTAAAATCCTTATAATTCATTTCATTTCTTAACTTTTTTACATATGACTTCAACCATTTTTATTTTTTCAATTTTGGTCAAACAAAAAAACTAATTTTCTATCATCTTGACTTTTGTCTATCACTTGGGTGATAAAGCTTTCTTCGTTATTTACAATTCTTTGCCTATGGACGCTTAACATACAAAGACCACTGAGTCTTGATTCAGACATTGTTGAGCGCAACCATGACTTAACACGCTGTAAGGTACTAAATGATCTCTCTATTGTTGCTGTCGTAACAGGCAACGATAGCGATTTTAAAAGCACAGCTTGAATTGCAGGCACAAATTTGGCAGCAATAAGCATATCGTCCAGAGTAGATATTTCAGAGTCATTTATTATTTTATGCCATACAAGACCTTCATTAAGTAGGTCACCATTCTCATCAATCTCTAATAACAACTGCTTGCTCTGCTCACGGGTCATGGTTTTGAAAGTGGAAGGGTACAATCGGAAAAGATTGAAAATACTTGAATTTTCTTTAAAAAATCTAATAGTTAACGAACTTATAAGCGAATCTATATACGGTAAAAACAGACTTAGTTTATAGTATTCTTTGGGATCTTCTGTGGAATAGTTCGCTCTTTTAGTTTGTCTTGAGACAATCCGTGGTATTTTAATCTCAACACCAATTGAGCGGCTGAACTTTTCGCATTCTATAAAAATACTGTTAAATTCATTCCGTTCTTCATGAAGTATAGAGATTAAACGTTTTATATGATTTTGATTCAAACAATTTGTTTATTTTGTAGTAATACGCGGTAATAGGTCCTAATATTTTGGAATATTTTGATATTATAAATAGACATAATAGAAATATTGGACTAGTTGCAACACAATATAAACAATTAGCTTTTTGCTTTCCACTAGTGGACCCTTCAGAAATTTCAAGCAATTTTTCCAATATTGTTCCGAAATGTTTTTTAAATAAGCCAATAGATTTTTGCTTCTCGGACCAGCGTGTTTCGCAAAGCATAGGAATTGAAGGAACCAGTTGTCTTCGAATATTACTTTCCCTAAAAAATTTTATTATTTCTTTTATTGTACCTATAGTATTCCTAACTTCGCCTAATTTATTTAAATCATAGACAACCAAGTTCAATCTGTATGACGAGCAATGAACATAATGAATATTCGGGTACTTTCGTTGTATTATACTCTTCACGCCATTCTCTTTTCCCGCCATTGCAGAGCATCCATCATATCCCTGGCCTACACAATATGCCATGTTTCAATTTAAGCTTTGGCACTTCGCTAAAATAGTATCGGAAATAGACTGAGCAAATTTTTTAAGCTCAACAAAGCCAAAAAACTCTTCATGTATAATTAATTTGCAATTTTCAAAATCGGCAAATCTAACGCCTAAAAAAAGCTGTTCTACCCCAGCAATGTCACTGGTTTCATCTGCTAGAATTGAGAAGCATTTGGAGACATTAGCTTTTAAAACAATATCATTTGCTATTATGCTTTCACAAATTGCAATTATCTCATTCTCGGTTTTAACAGATGTATATTGCGCATTTTGTGCACCTTCTTCCAAATGCTGTCTTAAAACCGAATCACCAGCTTGTACTCGAAACTTTAAAAGATCTTTGAAATTACCTTCATTTGATATTTTTCCACGAAGGGCCAAGTCATGAGTTCCGCAGAAAACTATTGTTCGTACAATCGAACCTAATTTTTCGCGATTCTTTCTAATCAAATCTACTCTGGACTGAGAAATTACACTAATAATACGCAGTTTCTTGTCTTCTTGTATGGCCATCAAATTGGTTCCATCCGAAATAGCTTGTTTATGCCATTCGGATTGAACATGATTTCGTGCTGCCTCATTAAAATTTTTATAATTATTATTGAACTCTTTCAAAATAAAAAAACCTTGAATTCCTCGACGGACCTTTTGCTTGAAGAGGACACAAAATTTACACAAGGCACCATCGACAACTTCAGAATATGCTAGCCAAGGAGCATATGTTTGTAGCCATTCGAATCGAAAGTTCCTTTTTTCATTGACTTTTTTGAAGTTGAAGTTTTTTTCCGGAATCCATGTGTTCATAAATACTTCAAGTTTTTTCTCTCAAGATAAGTCTGAGATAGCGCCGATGTATCGCCCGATATCAAAAACGTTGGTGCTAATGGTAACGCTGGATGAAACTGAAGGAATGGTTGAAGTCGATGAACAAGTAGAAGTAGAGGAAGTTGAGGAAGGCAAGGCCAAGGATGGAATTTCAGACTGGTCGTTTGTCTCTATCCTCGGTTTTTTTAAAAAGTTTCGTATGTCCATGCTCGAATATTTTATATTACCTATAATAATAATTTTAAAAAAGTTTTGTATGTCCATGCTCGAATATTTTATATTACTTATTATAATACCTATAATAATATTTTAAAAAGAGCTATCAAGAAGACTTTTTCAAAAAGGTCTCTTCTTGATAATATGCAGTGTCTAAAGTTGTTGAAACTAAACGCGTATCTTCCGCCTCCACGACTTAAGTAAAGGTTCTATTGTCTGTAATCTTCTATCTGGGACTTCGCAGCATATATGCCTGAACCTGAGGACGTGGGCGACGCGGTCACCCGAAACTCGGGTAGTGGGAGGTTAGTAAGAAGTACGCACCGCGCTCGGCCACCTTTACTACCATAGAAATATAAGATATATATCTCTATGTTTACTACAGACTGGCCATCTGCACGCAAAATGGCGGCGTGGAATGAATACATGACTCGATAAGTATGTGCACGTTTGCGCTTGGTGAGCAACGTTTCTTATTGGTGCTGCCATTATGCGTGTGCGCATCAATCACACAGAACCCTCAAATAGTCAGTTTCTAGTAAAGAGTTTCTACTTTAAGCCAACTTTGTACAGTAGACGAGAGCGTCCCCCACTAACCTCTCACTATCCAGTGACCAGTATTTGAATTCGAGTTTTAGGTTCGGGTGAGTTGCCCGGGTCAATGCTTAATTTTTGCTGATTCCAGGGGGGGGGCAAATGCCCTGTCTTACCCCCCCCTGTGGACGCCCTTGCATGGACCCATATATAATTTTATATAAAGTACCAAATTTAATTTGTAACAATGCACCCCCGAATATACATCGTTCCGGCATAAACGCCATGCCGAGACCGCCAGTGGAAAGAATGCGTCGCGAAAGACCGCCGATCCAAAATCCTCCACCACAACCACGACGCGCCAACGGCCGGACACCTCGGGATAGCCAAGACAATCGCCCGCGTCGCGCAGCTTTATTATTGACCGGGCATATTCAGAGAAATAGCGCGTTACGTCCGAAATTGCCCAACGTGTCTCAAGCACAAGGTAGCGCAGACCCGACCGGCGGGCACCCTCCACGCAACCGCCATCGCACGCCCCTGGCAACAGGTAATGCTCAACCTGATAGGCCTCTTGCCGCGATCGAAGGGGGGGCACACATGGCTATTAACAATGCAGGATAGATTTTCGAAATGGCTAGAAATGCGTCCCCTCCGTCGCGCCACCGCCTCCGCCGTTACCGCCAACATCGCGGAGGCGATACTGTTTCGGCACGGGTGCCCCGACGTCATCCTGTCAGACAACGGGACGCAACTTCGCTCGGCGAAACTCGAACGAATGCTAGCCGCACACCGCGTACGACACGCATACACGCCCGTGCACGTGCCGCATTGTAATCCGGTGGAGCGAACCAACCGCGTCGTTAAAACAATGATTTCCAGTACGTAGACAGAAACCACCGAAACTGGGACAGCCGAATCCCCGAATTGCAGTTCGTGTACAATACGGCGCGGCACGAGGCAACCGAGTATACCCCAGCATACTTGATATACGGCCGAGAACCCGTATCTCCGGTAAACCAGAGCGCAATACCGGCTAACGCCGCCGCACCCTCGCCGGACGAAACGCGCCGACACCTCGAGGAGGCCTTCGAGCTCGCACGAATCCACCTCGCACACGTGTTCCAGCGCCAGCAGAAATATTGCAACCTGCGAAGACGAGCGTGGAAACCAAAAATTGGAGAGTGGGTGTGGAAACGCGAATATCCAATCTCCAATAAAGCAGCCGCGTTCAACGCGAAGCTCGCGCCAAAATTTTGAGGCTCCTTCGAGGTGCGCAAAATTATCTCCCCCGTAATAGTTGACCTACGCGACAAGAGCGGCAAATGGATACGTCATATCCACGTCCAGGACTTAAAATCGGCCCCCTCCCCTGCGACCAAAAACACGGACAGCGAAAGCGACGCCGAAACCGACGCCGGCGAAAACAACGCCGACCCTGGCGACAACGAAGAGGACGATGACTCCGAAACCGAGAGTAACGCCGATAACAACACGGATCCGGAGGACGAGGACGAAACAGGGGTATAAACAATTGCCCCACTCCGAAAGTAATAACAATAAATACGGACTCCGCTAAAGAAAAGACACAGATGAGCCATGGCATCCGACCAGAGCAAAACGTCGATCGAGAGAGATATCCTCGAGGAGATCAATAAGATCCTCGCCGAGCCAGAGGAATACGACCCGGCCTACCCGGACATCGGGCACTCCTGGACGAGCCTCTTTACCAGAGGGTCCACCGCCGCTCTCGCCAAGAGCACCGAGCCCGCAGTCGCACCGCCGACACGCAAAAACGTGCCGACGATCGGCTGCGCGGTTCAACGGTCCGACGAGCAGCAAAGGCAAAAGCTGGAATGGCTCACCACCCCGCCACCTCCACTAAACCGGACGAGACACGGCCGAGGCTCACCAACGTCGAAAGCACGAATATCGATCTGTCGACCGTGCTGGGTCGTCCGTCGACCGCACCTCCGGCACCAGCACCGGCACCCGTCAACAACCCGCCGGCCGTAACGAGCTCTCCGCCGCTACCGACAACCAGCCCGGCAACACCACCGGAACCGGCCACGGCTAGAATACCCACGCCGCCGCCGCCGCAACCAGCACCGGCCGACGTCAGGCCCTTGCGGGCAGAAGGATCGCAGCTACCGCCCCCGATCCCGGTGCAAGTGGAGCCCGGTCATCTCATTTGGGTACCCCACTTTCACGCGCACGTCTCTCGACAGCACAAAATGCGGTCAAGGGGCAAACGGTGGCATATCAGGTTTAACGCCACGGGCACCGTACGCGCGATCCGAGAGATCAAGCCGAAGGCGTAGAGCGCCGAATTCGCGCTTTCCAAGGAGGGTGGGGGGTGATGTAACGATGCACCCCCGAATATGCATGAACGCCCTGCCGAGACCGCCCGGCCGACCACCCGCAGGGCAGAGAACGGGCACGGTGTGCCCACCGTACTTTTTTAATACGTAGCATGTATCGTTAGGAAGTCCGCGAACGGACTTACCGCGGCGACCGCCTCGACGCGCCGAGCGGGGCCGAAGGCGGCTGAAGACCGCCGAACGCGATCGCGGCGTCGGGACGCCGTAATCACCGATCGTTCCGCCGCACCGTCCCGGCGCTCGCGATTGCCGTCGCTACCCCCGCCACTCCGTGACACCGCCGCGACGCGTATATAAGCCAGGCGTCGCTGGCACAAATTGCGATTCTTGATCATCCGTCTCACCCAGGGCCTACAAACTCTTATGGAAGAATAATGACCAGCGTTAGTGGCGCTCTCTGCAATGGGACACCCGGAAAATGGGAACTACGTTGGTATTACCTACCGCTATGCCGGTAACGTCACGTAATAGAAAAGCATAGAAGAGCACAGGGGCCCGATTCTATATGTCCGATTCTCTAACGAGAAACGTATGCGCAAACTCTGCTTGCAAACTCGCATTGTAGACCCCGCATTAAAATATAAAATAAAATTTTTTGTATCAAGTAAAAGTTTGGAAGTAAATAATTCTGCGGTTAAAAAATATAAAAATTGTCATAGCAAAGTGTAATATAAACAACAAAAATTAAATAAATAACAAAAATTAAATAAATAATAACAATTAAATAAATAATAAAAATCCGTTATTTTCAAGGGGTTGTTTCAACCTTTAAACGTCGAGATAAGCAGCAAAAAAAAAACCGTGTCTAATGTTTTTTGATGCTCGACAACATACCCAAACGCATCCAAATCGATCGTTATTTTTTAGGGGTTGTTTCAACCCTTAAACGTCGAGATAAGCAGCAAAAAAAAACCCGTGTCTAATGTTTTTTTAATGCTCGACAACGTAGCCAAAGCGCATCCAAATCGGTCGTTATTTTTTAGGGGTTTTTTCAACCCCTAAACGTCGAGATACGCCGCAAAAAAAAATACGAGTCTACTATTTTTTGATGCACAATAACATCCAAAGCGCATCCAAATCGGGTAGGGACACTTCCGACCGTTTCCTTGTGAGTGCACACTAAAGCTTGTTCATAATATCTGTTTTTATATTTAAGGTCGCTTAAATACACGTTTAAAAACTTTGTAGTTAATAAAACAATCTGTATAGATGCTGTACAGATCATTTTTCTGGCTAAGAAGTATTTCAAAAAGTATTTAAAATGATCTGTAAATATAAGAATTAACTAATAATGAGAACAAGCCTTAGTGCGCAGTCAGTGAGCACTAGTGCAAGCGCCCAAATTCGCTATTAATTTGAAACAACACGGCAACAATATGAAAACAACACGAAGGGATAGCAACCTGCTTCATCCCTTTCGATGGGAACGATGAGAAACGCCCCAGGCCGATTTTGAAGCAAGAAACCGCTCACGCTCAGCTGTGATTTTCTACTTCTCCCTTCTTTCTTTTTTACTTTTAATTTACGTTTTTCATCTTTAATTTTTCGTAAAGTTTATTAGAAAACAGCGGTATTTTTATGTTAATTTCTAATGGATCATTTTAGAACACTTTTTTTGTTTTCAATTATTGACGTTGCTTAAAGAGAAGTAGTAAGTAGCTACTAACTAGCACAAAGAGATCTCTTTATTTTTAGTTTATAAACGTTGTTAAACTCACCGCGGTTTCTTCAACCTATAACTCAATATAACGCGTAATTTTTTTTATTTTGTAGCATTTTATCAGTAAATGCTACCGTGTCTTTTCTTTTATAACCACGTATAATCGTTGGCAGGTATCTAATTTTTCATGATTTAATAGCGATTTAAACGTAATAATGACTTGCTTGCAAGACACATTTGCATGCTGTTCGGGCGCGTAATAAACGCGTCGAAAGAATCGCCGAATCCGTTCCGCGAGAACGCGAGATAATTGCGAGTGGCTTCGTTCAGCCCTTTAACTATGAGACGACCGG